CACCTGGTGATGGTCTAGTGTGTTTACCTTTAGGATAAGGGTTTAGAGATAATCATATGTATTCTAAAGGAAACTTAGTAAAACATATAAATACCCATTTTGTGTTCACTTGCATAAACATCAAAGGAAATCTCTACCCATTCATATGCATTCACACTTCTAGGTTAGTGGGGGACAGGATGACTTGGGAGATTGACCATGGGATATAATACTTAGCATTTCTGATAGCATTTGCCATCATCAGTGCATTGTAAAAAATGAACTAACTGGTCCTCATAGTATTCCTTTCAGAGAAGTAAATCATCCCTTTATACAGAAAAGTTATTTTGTGGTCTCTGAAATCTATTGGCTAGTGAACAAATGTTCCCTTAACTAAAACCCTTCCAGTTGGACCCCTTGTTTGAAGCAATACCAGACAGACCAAAGATTGACTGACTGACTTGGAAACTAAACTAATCTCACATCTAGCAGTTTTCCCCTTGAAGTCAGGGTGCATAGACATTGGCAGAGCAGTGTGCGCTTGCAGCATTATATTCTATAGACAGAGAACTTCATTTCCAGGACTGTCAATCAGAAACCTTTTGCAAGCACTGTAGACATCTTAAAAAAAGAAGGGGCAGTGAGGGGACTTTCTGGTCAATCTGATGTAAAGCCTGTAAAACTGGAAATGTTCTATGGGGTGAAGATTGATACGCTGTTCAATTAACCATATTGTGGTAAATTAGTGAGGCTTTTTATATTTGTTTTACTGTCAAAAGTTTGCTGACTAGTCTTCAGTGCAACAAGCTTTCAAGTTATTTGAACTCTTAAATCCACATACGAACAATGTTTAATTCCTCTTAAATATACTATTATTTAATTGGTACAATATTTAATCTCTAGCTCCTGTCACTTAAATGAGGATTTAGAACTCAATTCTAAATGGGGTTTGCATAGGCAGGATGCTGCACTTGCCTGGAACTCCATTGAAATGTGGCTCTGCAGGTATCTGCCTATGTCTATCAACTACAGATTTGTTCCCTTTAGTTTGTGAGGCATGTAATGTTGCAAATGTTAAGAGATTGTGGCTTTATCCATAATATTACTATATTGTGACAAATCATGTTACAATGTTGGATGAATATGAAAGCAAGCCCATTTTCCTGTGTAGTTAAAGAAATATGAACACACACAAAATTACTGTTAATTTTCCCTGTCAGGTATATCCATTTAAAAGATTTTCAAGGAGTCCAAAAAGAAGACGCTCTAGTGAAAAACTAAAACAAATTATATAAAAAGTCTAGAAATAGAAGCTAATCTTTAACAATTGTTGGTGGGTCCTTCTGGCAACTATCCCATGTTCAGATGGCATCAATAAGCATTTGGATATGCCTATTATGCATGTGTGATTGATGGTTCCCTTTCAGGACTGATCAGATTTTATTAATCCCTGCCCCATAATGCGACTATTGAGCCACTCTTTGAAAAAAAGGGCTGAATTTTGGTGTAAAGGAAATGTTGTTTTTCATAGCCAGGGGAATGTTGGAATTCATTGCCACAGAAGGTAACTGAATTGAATTAAACATGGTCATCAATTGTTTTTTTTAAAGGATAACTTCATGATGGTTAAGATTTGTAACTATGCAAGCTATGATAAAAAGGCTAACTGAATATCAAGCTGATGTCTTGTTCAGGTCAGGAAGGAATATCCCCTCCCTCTCCCGCTGAGTATAGCATTGCTCAGTTGGCTAGGTGCATTATGTTTTTGCCTTCCTCTGAAGCATTATGTATTGGACACTGCCAGAAGCGGGATGTAAGAACAGATGGACTAATCTATGATGGATAAATCCTATGTTCTAGTTGTGTGCAGTACATTAACAAACACTATGAAATATAAAATCTACTGCAGAAATAACATTTAAATTAGTCTTCATTTATGCAAATGTTAATGTTTACTATGTAATTCAGAACTTTCATTATAATGTTCCAGTATTCTAATTACCTTCTAACATGAGCCAACAGAGGGTTATAAATGATTGGTTTGGTGCTATGTTTAGTTCTTCAGTCACTACAGAAACTGGTAGAGCTCAGAATTAAGCAAATATTAGACCGAACACCGTGCATGTGATCGTCAATTAGATCCTGATTGTCTAAGTATTCTGCATGGTTAGACCCTTGTTCCTGCATGAGATCCCACTGACTTCAGTGGGTTTTCATGCAGGCACAAAGGTCCAGATGCATGGAGCAATTGACCAGATTAGAGCTCTAGATTTTTGAAATATACTGCTTGTATATTAAATAAAGCAGAAGCAAGTCTCTCGCTGGCTTAGAGGAGAGAGTTGGAAAAAATTGATGGAGTTTGCCTCTGATGTCTTATCTACATTAGATTTGACTAAACATTCCTATCTTTGTTCCACCAGCAGTAGCAATACTTGGGACACTAGAGTAACCAGGCCATTGGTAGCTGCCAGGGTATTAACTGTTGTGTGGTCTATCTAGATCTTTACTTAGCAGGACAGGGTGGGTTTGTTTTAATGCTGTCATTGGTCTATGCTAGTGCTCCCACCATCAATGGTAGCAAGGGAGCAGCTGTGGTAGTAGCAACAATGGGAAATATAGAGGCAAATAGTCCAATGTAGAAACAGTATGCTTCAGCCACACAGGGTGTATCTTTATACGCCTGGTTCAAAGTCCAGTCAATAGATGCCCATTGACTTTGCTGGGCTTGGATTAGACCCTGATTGAGTCTGAACTGAAGCAAATTAATAACATTGCAATGAGCAATTTTCACATTACTGCACCAGCATCCATAAAACAATGATTGCATTTATTTAAACAATTTATACTTAAAATCCAGTAGTCTTTTCAAAATTACATTGTCACAGGATGAGTCTCTGACTTGAAAACGAACTGAAAACTTACGCCAAGAATTTATGGAAAGCGTGTAAACTATGTATTGTTTGACAAATATTTTATAGTAAAAAATCATCCAGTACAGTATATTTCAATCTACATATGTAGGTAATGGTGTTTCTTAATTCAAAAAAGGTTTAGCACTGATTCTTATGCTTTACAGGGATGCATTTTAATTCAATAATGTTTTTTTTAATTCACTAAAGCTCGTTCAAAAGCTAATTCAAATAAAGTTAACCTACAATTTCCTCCTCCCAAATTTTCAGGAAGTGTGCCATGTGACTTTCTCACATCAGCATTCAAAAATTAACTTTATTACTCTCTTATTACAATTTTATAAAATGAGTCATACTGCCAAGAATCTAATCAGTCGTTGATCTACAATCTTTCAGCTATGCCTCCTGCCCTACTAAGTTGGGATCACAACCTTGAATGGAACTTGCCCTTACTGTGGTTAATCTAGGATAGATTTACTAGATGTTTTAAACAGTCAGTGAGGACAGCTGACTTTTAGATAAGGCACCAGAATTCTTAACATTACCTAAAGAACTAATTAAAATGAATTTTTCCAAAGATTTTCATTACATTTCTTATTCTGCCTACTGTGTACAGTACATAATTAAAGAGTACTGCTCTTATATGTACCCCATCTGAAGCAAATTAACATTTCTTATGAACTTTTGTGGAGAAGTAGTAATGAGTAAAGTAGTTTCTCCAATTTATTACTAGTTAAAGTCAATGCCCAATACATTAGCATATGCTGTGTGTCACCTGCTATATACAATAAAAAGCTTTTTTGCTATTGTTGACAAAGCAGGTCTATCTAATGAATTCTATCCTGGGCTTAGAGTGCATGTGACATACAAATGGTATTCTGTGAGATAGTTTGCTCTCTTTTGCTGAGTAACTTCTTCCTCTTTCAATTCCATACTTTCTACTTGTATTTGAATCTCAAAATTTAAACTGACTTATGATTGCCATAGTCTAAGGGCCCTATCCAAAGCCCATTTAAGTCGATGGAACGAATGCCATTGACTTCAATACGCTTTGGATCTGCCCTAAATCTTCTGAATATCACCATCTGGGGAAGTATGGATCTAAGCAAAGCTAAAGTTGCTTGCATATTTTAAATGATCTCACACCTTAGCAAATGCTCTAATGCTTTGTTTTTTGGGTCAAGAACTTATTTTTATTTCCTGTCCTAAATCCTTGATTACTTTTTATAAGTAAGCCTATAGGGGTACAGCTCATAATTTAAAGTGGTAACTAATCTCCATTAGAGAACTGAATAGGTCACACATGGAGTAAATTTGGTGATCTTCAGCTAGCTTCTGCCAAACATATCAATCTGTTATAAAAGTCTCTGCTAAGGAGAGGTCTAGAAATGACACAGAAGGGGTGTTTATAGAGCTATGCTGTACGTGGGAGTGAAATTTACACATAGGTTCCACATGGTGTACTACAAATTGCTCATGCTGAACATAAAATTTATCCTCCTGGATCAGAGCAATTCTCCATCTAGTCAACTGTCCTGTCTCCAACAGGAGACAGTAAGCACAATTCAGAGGAAAGTGCAAGAAACCCTGAAGTGGGCACCTGGGAATAATATGCCCACAGGAGAAGTTTTGATCTCTCTCTGCCATTGTTTTCCAACGGTGAAATGGGGATAATATACATACTGACCTCAAAGGGTGGGTGAGGATTAAACAGTTACGGATTTTACAGTGCCTTGAGACTGAAAAGTGCTATGTAAGTGCAAGTTCCCATGGCTTTTACATTGGCCCTGATTTTGGGGAGGAGGGGAGGGCAATTCAGTTTTAAAATAATTGTGACTATTCAATCAAAATTGTAGATAATTAAAATCATATAAATAGCTTTCTAGGTCTTTTTTTATTCCTCTGCGACCAGGTGACCCTGATTATTTTTCCCTTCCCTTCAAGCAATGTCCCTGACTCAGTTGTCAAAGACTGGAAAAGCAGAAGTGTCCATCTAGCTTTGAACTTGATACGTGCGGTGGAGTTACAAGGTTAAACAAATGGGGTGGATTTTTTTTTTAAGCTGAGCATTACATTTCAAAAAAGGTCTTTCCCCCTCCTCTAGTGCATTTTTAGGCTGCATGCACTCCTGCCTGTCTTTTACTCCGTCCCAGCTGAAGATTTCAAGGAAGATGAGCGCTCTATTTTGCTTCTCCCTTGTATTGCAGATAGGGGGAGGAGGTGGTTATTAGAGGGGAGCCCCCCTCGCTTTTTCTCTGTCTCTCTAGCTGATAACACTATATCGCTCGCTCGCGCTTCTCCTAGGTGATCCATTTCTAGGCAACGTGCTGGAGCTGCCAGCTCTCTCTGCATCCCACCAGCAAAGCAAGCTCTAAGCCATCCTGCGGACCATCAGCTGCTTCCCTCTGCTTTGCTCCAGGCACTGCTTCTCTGTCTCCTGCCCTGTCCAACCACTACCTTGCGCGACAGACACAGCACGCTGGGCTTGATTTGCAGATTTCTCCACCAGTTGTGGGAAGCAATTTCTAAGCAGGGGGTGGGGGAAAATCTCTGCATTACTATCTGCATTACCTTGAAGTTCACTTTGTTTTTTGGCCTAGGGGGGGCTTTTCCTGCAGGAATCTGGCTTCTAGAACCGGGATCTCCTATTTACTTGATTCTCCGCTCCGCCTCCTTCCTTACTGAAGGCGAGTTATTTGCTGCGGGCTCCCGGGGTTTGGGGCTCTCGGGCCAAGAGGGTTTTGTGTGTGTGTATGTGTGTGTGTGTGTGTGTGCGCGCGCGCGGTGTGTGTGTGTGTGTGTGTGTGGTGGGTTGGAAGTTGTTGTGCAGGAGCCGGGACTGAGCCGATCCCTGGACCCTGCGGAAGGATGGAGATGGTCTGACGAAGAGGCGCCTGCTGCCCAGAGAAGCAATCGGGCTGGATGGATTCGCTGCCCGAACTAACAGCAGCGGTGGTCGCTATGCCCGGAAGCCCCCCGAAGTAACGCGGGGCTCTTGCAAAGGAGAGGGGCGCCCCAAACCCTGGGCTCTCCCCCGAGCCATCAGCTATTGTACACAGGCAATCGGGATTTAAACAGTGTTCCGGCATCTCCAACTCTTGGGCTTGCTGCGCTGTCCTTCATTATCCTCCTTGTAAGAAGAGATCTGACGCTCTTTAAAAAAAAAACAAAAAAGCAAAAAACCCTAAACCCCAGGAGGACATGGAAGTTTTCTCTCTCATCTTGGTTGTGTCCGTCTGGTGGACTCGAACCTGGGAAGCGGCGATTGCAGATTCAATCATACATATAGGTAAGGGGGTTGCTGCATCTGCTGGTTACTTTTCGAGCTCGCCTTTGCAACGTCTCTCTCTCGTTCGCGCTCTTTGCAGTCCCTTTTCCTTCTTGCCATCTTCTTTCCTGCTCTCCCTTTTCCCCTCCGTATCATTGCTTCCCATAAAAATCTTTGCTTTTCTCCCCCCTCCGCCCCCCCCTTTTAAACAGTTGCTCTTTATTGATGGTTCTTGATGGATGATGTGTGTTTAAATCTTGGGTTTCGTATCTAATGGCTTGGAGGGTTTTTTTGGGGGGGGGGGGGGGGGGGGGGTTTCACCCCCCCCCTGTTTTTTCCCTTAGCCCCAATCCCCCCCCCCCCTTTTCCCCGCGACTCACTAATTTGCCCTATCTGGGAACCCGAAAGTATCCCCCAGATGGTGTCGTCTAACCACAGCCACCCCTCGGCGGAACAGGTGGTATGACAACGTTTCGCAAAGCAGCTCTGTGT